GACCCATCACGCCCCTCATACGGACAGTGACTATCCTAGCCCCCTCCATGCCTGAAGCTGTGAAGGTTAAAGCCCTACCAGACTCTGGCTGCACGTGTTGCCTTATTAGCCCAACACTGGTGGGAACCCTGGGCATTCCGGTGAGGAGGCTGAAGAAACTGATATCCTTCGGTCAATTAGATGGGTCCATAGCAGGGGGAATGCCAGCTACCCTAGCCACGCTACCAATCCACCTTACTCTGGGGGACCACGAGGAGACTATAACGTTCGTGGTGACCCCAGGCACTGAGTGATCAATATTACTGGGATTGGCACGGCTAAAGAAATGGAACCCCAGGGTGGACTGGAGGACAGCAGAACTCAGGTTCCCAAAAGGGGACCGAACAGGATCGCCACCCCAGGAAGCCCCTGAGAGCTCCTCTCCGGAAAGAGCAGCAGTGGGCGAGGAAATCGCATTGCCCGAAATACCCGAGGAGTACAAGGACAGAGTACAAGGCAGACAAGCTACCCCCCCCCCACCGACTACGCAATAGAAATCAAGGTGGGAGCGAACCTCCCAAAGCCTAGACCTCCATGAGCCCCGAGGAGCTACAAGAAATGAAAAAAATTGTAGATAAAAATTTAGAGAGGGGCTTCATTGAGCCAGCTTCCCCAAAGAAGGTAGCAGCCCCCGTCCTTCTCAGGAAAAAGAAGGATGGCACATTGCGTATGTGTATGGATTACCGCGTCTTGAATGCCATAAGCGAAAGCAACCTGTACCCTCTCCCCCTCATGAAAGACAAGCTGTCCCACCTATCGAAGGGAAAAATCTTCACAAAGCTAGACCTAAGGGAAGCCTATTATTGCATTAGAATTAAGGAGGGGGATGAGTGGAAAACTGCGTTCAACTGCCTATGGGATGCTACCAATTTAAGGTCTTGCCATTTGGGCTGAAGGGAGCCCCCGCAGTTTTCATGCAGCAGATCAATGAGATACTGAGGGAGCACCTGCTCCCTATATAAAGGGATCCTCATCTACCTGGACGACATCCTTATATTTACAGAGACTAAGGAGGAGCACATAAAATTAGTCAGAGCAGTCTTGAAAACATTGAGAGCAGCAAAATTGTCCAAATGCGAGTTTCACAACCAGAGAACTGACTATTTGGGCTACCACATATCAACCGAAGGCATAGAGATGGATCCTGAGAAGGTCCGGGCAGTGTTAGAGTGGGCGCCATCCCACACGAGGAAGCAACTACAAAGCTTCCTGGGGTTCACTAACTTCTACCGTCAATTCATCCCTTCTTTTGCCCAGATAACCCTGCCTATCACAAACTTATTAAAAATGAAAGTGGACGGGTCAGTAAAACCTAGTCAGCCATTAACCTGGACGATGGAATGTCAAGCCGCATTCGAAAGACTAAAAGGGCTTTTTTCGGCCGAGCCGGTCCTAAAGCACCCCGACCCAGATAAGCCATTCGTAATCCAAGCTGATGCAAGTGACATAGCAGTAGGGATAGTATTGCTGCAGGAAAACGACAAGGGGCAGCTGCAACCCTGTGCCTACACGTCCAAAAAACTCTCTGAAATGGAGCAACATTGGGCGGTGTGGGAAAAAGAGGTGTAGGCTGTGAGGTGGGCACTCCTCACCTGGCGGCACTTCCTGGAAGGGAACAAAATCCCATACCAGGTCTGGACAGACCATAAGAACTTGGAACCGCTAAAAACGCCCAGGAAACTCAGCCCTAAACAAGTCTGATGGTCACAACATTTCCATCGGTTTACATTCAAAATCAAACACTTGCCAGGGGGGAGGAATTTCCTGGCAGACGCCCTATCCCGCATGCCCCAGTACAATAGCTCCCGGCCAACCATCACCAAGCCACTCATGCCGGAAGCACAACTGGCAGTGCAAGTAACCACAAGAGCTCAGGCAAAACTAAAGCAGCCGATAGCCAGCCAAGCAGGGATAGAATTCAGGAAGGCTCTAGAAACCGATGAATGGTTCCAGAGCCACAAAAACGTATGCACTATCACTGATGGCTTGCCATGGGTGGGAGAGAAGTTGTACATCCCAAAAGCCCAGAGGATCACGTTTATGCAACCCTGCCATGACACGAAACCAGCGGGTCACTTTAGTTTCGTGAAAACGCTACATCTAGTGAAGAGACAGTTCTGGTGGCCATCTATGAAAAAGGACATTGAGAGCTACATGGCCAGCTGTCCAACCTGTGCAGCTGCTAAAAGACTGCAAGGGAAAGCCCCCGGACTGCTATAGCTGGTGGCAAACCCCTCAGCCCCCTGGAGGGAAATCTCCATGGATTTCATAGTAGAACTACCAGAAAGTAATGGAAACACAGTGATCTGGGTAGTCATGGACCTATTCTCAAAAAAAGTACACTTCATTCCATGCCCAAAGATCCCCACTGCTAAAGCCTTAGCAAAATTGTTTGTCCAGCATATATATAGATTACTTGGAGTACCCCAGCGCATAATATCAAACGGGGTGCAATTCACATCGGACTTCTGGAAAGAGTTCTTATCCCTTCTGGGGACCACCAGGGGCTGTCATCTAGTCATCATCCTCAGAGAAATGGCGGGACGGAACGTTTGAACTCAGTATCTGAACAATATTTAAGATGCTTTATTAATTTCCAACAGACAAACTGGACCGACCTGCTCCCTTTCGCAGAAGTGGCATACAACAACACAGTCCATTCCAGCACGGGCTACACCCCATTCCAAGTAGCTACGGGCCAAAGCTTCAACCCCATGCCAGAACTGAGCGCTACGAAGCCAGCCATTCCCTCTCTGAAGGAGTGGATCGCATAATTAAAAAACACATGGCCAGTAGTTAGAAAAGCACTAGACAAAGCTAGACGGGCCTATAAAGCACAAGCAGATAAGAAAAGAGTCGAACCAAAACCAATCATTGTAGGGGAAATGGTGTACTTATCCACAAAATACCTAAAATCCCTGCAACCATCCAAGAAACTAGGGCCGAAATACGTGGGACCGTTCCCCATCAAAAGGATCATAAACCCAGTAACAGTAGAGTTAGAATTGCCAAAAACCCTCAGGCAGATTCTCCCTATCTTCCACTGCAGCTTACTAAAATGAGAGCAGCAATCACTGCTATGACCGGCCACCGTCCCACTGCCTCCTCCCATTATGGTTGAGGGGGAGCAGCATTTTGAAATAAAAGAAATCCTTGACTCCCAAAAATACCATGGAGCAACTCAATACCTAGTAGCATGGAAGCACCTCCCCTCTTCCCAAAACGAATGGGTGCACAAACGCCACACTAGAGCCCCCAAACTGTTAAAACAATTTCACGCAGACTACCTGAACAAACCAGACTAACCTCTCACCATTTTTGTTTTGTTTTGTTTCTCAACAGATTGATCTCTCATATTTTTAAGGGGGGCAGGATGTCAGAACCCATATATATCATATTGCATACTTCCCTGCCTCTCTTTCTCTCGTCTCCTGATTTCATTCTCTTCTCTCCCTGTGTTCTGCCATACTCCTAGAGCAGTGATGGCGAACCTTTGAGAGACCGAGTGCCCAAACTGCAACCCAAAACCCACTTATTTATTGCCGGGTGCCAGGTGGGCGTGGCCCACTGGGTGGGCGTGGCTGTGATGGTCATGGCAGACTGGGTGAGTGTGGCCAAGGTGGGCATGGTCACCGCAATGTTGCTCGTGGGGACACCTGTGGGGGCTGGGCAGGGTTGGGGGAGACCCAGGAGGTCTCTGGCAGGTGGGGCTGTGGGCAGGAGGCTTGTCCTGTGGGGTGAGGCGAGACAAGGCGAGGCAGGGCGGGGGTGCCATTGTCGCAGGGCAAGGTGAGGCAGGGGCCAGGGCGGCTGCTGCCTGACACCGGCGCACTCTGGGGCTCCGCAGCCCACTGCCTCTGAGCTGGATGGCCAGCTGACAGCTGAGGAGGCGATGCAGTGGGTCGTGCCCGGGAAAAGGAGAGCATGCGAGGCCAGGAGGGATGGGACAGGGGGGGATGCATCCGGCCATGTGGGACCTCGTCGAGTTAGCGGGTGGCTGGTTGAAGAGGGACGGTTGCCATCTCCGGGGCATGGCACGCGTGCCCACAGAGAGGGTTCTGAGTGTCACCTCTGGCACGCGTGCCATAGGTTCGCCACCACTGTCCTAGAGGGGAGAGGGGACGGAGTGCGGGTTTATTGCCTTAGCTTCCTCTATTGATACAATGTAGCATTTTGCTTCCCTACCTCCTTTCCCTATTTCTACAGTGTAACATTTCACCTTAGCTTCCTTTATTGCCGCAATATAACACCTCGCGCTCCTACACTGTATCTCTCTCTGAACTTTCTTCTCCCTAACCTGTCAGCTAGGGAAAGAGGGGGAGAAAGAAATACAACCTCCGGAGCCTGGCCTATTTCTCCGCTCTCAAAAGAAAGTGTGAAGAGCCATTTGAACATCGCGCCACGACCAGAGCTGGACTGATGTTATCTCCCCTTTCCCACGATGGACTTAACACCTGGGGATTGGCCAGTTTGAACCGTCCGGATGAACTATGGGGTGGGGTTTGCTTGGGGATACTTTAACCCATCAATCTGTACAGGAGTCCCTCAGATCCTGTCTAGTATGCCTGCCATTAGCTTCTCCTAATAAAAATTCCTTTTGGAAGAGCTTGCTTTCATGAGTTCTGCTTTCTTGGGATAAGGTGTTGAGGTGGATCCTGACAGGGTCTATGGTGAAGAAAAGGTTGAGAACTACTGCTCTATCCCATATTTTTCAATGATGGTTTTCCAGAAGAAGAACTTTGAACATATCTATGCTGAATTTGTTACTTTCATGCCATTTGTCCAGCATACTGAGATTATTTTGAATTCTATTTCTGCTTTCCAGCTACCCTACCCAATGTTATAACTTCTGCAAATTTGGTAAGGATGCTTTCCACTTTTGCATTCAAATTAATTAAAATGTCCATTGTCATGCCACTCAGCCAACACTTAGCAAGCTTGATAATCAGCATGTCAAGTAGTACTTCATCAACATTTTTATTGAAGATGGTGCTAAATATACAGCATTCTCATACTTACACATCTCTTCTCCAAATATTCAGTATGAAAGTTTAGTGTAGTATTGAAATCTGTTCTAGCTAAACTGAAACTGGGCACCAACACTTACCTATCTGAGAAGATAAAATAATTTTAAAAGATGTTAATATTAGCCTCCTGCTCATTTAATAGCCTTGAGGTAATATGTAGCACACTTAAAACATATTCATTCTTTCAAAATGAGAAGGTGCATAGTAAACCTAAAGCATCAGCAGTTGCATTCAGAAGACAGAAATAAATGTCAACAATGGGGTTTAGCAATTTCAAGCAATCCCAAAGTGTTCTTTCAAATGTGGTGAACTTTGTCAACTTCTGCACTTATTCTTGCTTTTTGTGTTTTTATTGGTGGGATGAAAAGCACTTCACTAAGTTTCTTTGCTGCTTTATGAATCTTCTGCCCATCTTCCTCTTGTTGCTGCTTTAGCTGTGCCTTCAATCTTGCTTCTTTCTTTTTTAGAAAGTTGATCACATCAGTGACAGTGATTCCTTCTCTAATGGCTTTGGTAGGTGCTGCTGTTCTAATAGTATTCATTTTACTGTCCTTTAAACACTTTCTCTTATAAACTAGTCTATATGGATCATGCAGTTTATTGCTTCTACAGGTACTATTATTGCATTTAAGATCAGAGAGTTTCAGCTCCACAATTTCTTGCACTTTTCTTACAGCCATGCAGAAATCCTCCTCTCCTTCTTTTTCTTTCCTTGTTCTGACCTATAAAAAGGAAATTGTAATTAGATTGGTAAATGTAGACTGTACAACTGCAAGGATGGCATAGATACCATCATATCTACACCAGCCCCCACAAATTCTTATTATTGGAAAAATGGTGCCATGTTTCCTCTTCTGTTCTGTTTCTGTTTATACACAATACTTTTTTGCTATCTGAAATTTTCACATATGCACAATTTGTGGCTGTTGCACCTGGCATTCAGAAACAGGAGTCCCTCTGTGAGGAAAATGGGCAGTTTTAAATTTGATACGTAAATAAAATTAAAAATAAAGATGTACAAAACATACATTATGAAGTTATAATAATTTCCTATTATCATATTAGAGCAAAGGTAACATATTTTTGTTAGTAATATGCACTGATTGCCACTTCAGAGTTTAAAGCAAAAAAAAAAAAATATGCAGAGCTGAATGTTTTTGAAGTCTGAATAAATTACTTTTGTGTTCTGATTAGTTGGCAGTTTTCAACCACATTATTTCAGACACCGTATTAGGACAGCTATTTTTTCCTTTCTTCCAGCCTAACCATCATGTCCCTGCTGTTATTGGTTTAAATAAGATGGAGGATGAGGTAGTGCTTTGCAGAGGGAATAACATGGTTGCGGGGGCAGGGGAGAGAAGCTTACAGCTGAAAAATTGCTGCTCTGTCTGGTTAGTTACTATTGTTTTAAAAATTCATTGCCATAGGAAAGTTAAAAATGTATGCTGATATATATTGTGTGCTGTTCTTATTGTGGAGCAAAGGATGCCCACCACACAACATGGAGGTATATTTATGTGTATAGCAGTATTTAATGCACAAATCTTGTATAGCTATTGAGATTACATAAATGAAAATGCAATGCTTATTTACTTGATTTATTAAGGTTGAGTCTATGTGCTTATACTCTACATCTCTTGTGTCCTGTGAGCTTCCAGGGTTCATTTTAAAACTTCAAGATTTAAAAGTTATTCAAATTATTTATTAAAGATATTTCTGCACTCCAAATGATACAAGTCAGGGTGGTAGACAGAATTCCAAGAGCAATCTCCCAAATACAGTAATTCATAACAATAAGCAATCTGGAAGAAGTATACGATCTACAATCCATCTATGATCCATTTCAGTTAGCTTTCAGGCTGGGTCATAGCACTGAAATGGCTTTGGTCACAGTGGATGACCTTTGATTGGCTCAGGATGGGTGCAATGCATCTACCATAGCCTTCTTTGACTCTCAGCTTCCTTTGATTTCATTGACTATGGTATTCTACTGTATCAGGTTAGGAGAATGGGAGTGACCTTTTTGCAGTAGTTCTCCTCTTTTCACCATGGTGGGTTCCAGTTGATGTTTGTTGGGGTGATACGTCTAGTCCCTGTTACAGGGTGCTTCAAGGATCTATTTTTCTGCACTTTTCTTTAACAGCTACATGAAATCATTGGGAGACCATCTGCCAGTATAGAGTACAGTATCATTAGTAGGTTGATGATACTCAATTGTATATCTATACCTCGCTAAGCTGATGAAGGCCTGGTGTCTGGAGGTTGTAAAGACCTAAATGGAGAACAAGCTCTGGCTTAAAACTCTTCAAAAACAGAGTGGCTGTGGATTTTGGGCCCCTGGACTTCTAGAATCGGAAAGTTTCCATCCTTCTATTTTTTACGTGAGGTAGAACCTATGTTGTGCCATGCATTTATGAAGTGGTTGTTCAGATCTGCATATGTCTCATTTCATTTTATTGCATATATCACATTGCTCAACTTGTTTCTGGGTGTTTTATACTTAGGGTGGAGAAACTTCTGCATTAGTGTATTCTTGGGTTTAAAGTGTGCATGTATATTGTGTTGGTTGAAAATCCTCCTGAGTTTTTCAGATATTCCTGCAATATATGGAATGACAATGTTGCTTCGTTTGTTGTTGTCTTCTTTGTCTGTTATGGAGGAGCTCCTGCTCGTGTTTTTTTTTTTATTTGATGAAGGCCCAGTTAGGATAGCCACAAGTTCTGAGGGTTTCCTGCATGTGTTTTAGTTATTTTTCTTAACAAGTAGGCAAACTTTTAGCCTAGTTGTGTAGGGTTCTGATCACTCCCATTTTGTGCTCCAGTGGGAGGTAAGTATCAAAATCTAAAAACTGTTCTGTATGTGTATGTGTGTGTGTGTTGGGGGGAGGTTCTGTAAACTTCAGTGTTAAGGCCTCTGTCTTCTTAAAGTGCATTGCACAGTCCAGGAAAGCCCAACTATTTTCCTTAACATCTTCCCCTGTGAGCTTAATATATCTGTCCACAGAGTTGATGTTTGGTGAAGGCTTTTAAAAATGTTTTGGATGAAACTAGAGTTTTCATCATTTCTTTGATTGCTAGCTGGTGTTCATGGATGCGTTCTGCTAATCTTCTGTTTGTCCTACATAGTAGCTGCTGCAGTTTTTACACTGTATGTTGTAGATAACTACTATTTTTTCTTCTGGGGCTGCTGGGTCTTTTGGCTTACTTAGGATGTTTTGGAAGGCTTTAATTGTTTTTATATTATGCTGATGCGATGTTGATGGTTTCTGAGATATTTTTCATGTATGGCAGTGTTACCCTTTTTGCACCTTGTGCTGATTGTGCTATATTGGGTTAGGCCAGTGGTTCTCAACCTGTGGGTTGCGACCCCTTTGGGGGTCAAACGACCCTTTTACAGGGGTCGCCTAAGACCATCGGAAAACACATAATTACATATAATGCTTTAATTATGTTCAATTTGTAACAATGAAAATACATCCTGCATATCAGATATTTACATTACGATTCATAACAGTAGCAAAATTACAGTTATGATGTAGCAATGAAAATAATTTTATGGTGGGGGGTCACCACAACATGAGGAACTGTATTAAATGGTCGCGGCATTAGGAAGGTTGAGAACCAGTGGGTTAGGCACTTTTTGATGAAGTTGCTTAGATATCCATTTTGTTGGAAGATGCTGTAAATATGATCTGTTTCCTTTTTTTGATGTTCAGAGTTGCTGCAGTGTTTTGTACTTGACTAAATATTATTCTTACACAGCTTCTCTTGTGAGAGGTTGAGTTATTACTTTGGTAGCAGAGCACTTGGCTGGTGTAAGTGGCTTTTCAGTAGACTGTGCTTCTAATTTGCCATCACAGGCTCTGCTGATAAGGATATCCAGGAATGGTAGCATAGTTATTTTCTTCTTTCCTTGTGAATTGTATTCCTTTGTCGATGGTTTTGTTTGTGTTTTCTACTTCTACCCTTTTATTATGGTAAAGGTGTCATCTACATACCTAATGCATATTTTGGGTTGTTTGAGTCCATGTGAATACCTTTGTTTTGTTGATACATTTGATTATGAAATTGAAGATATGTGGTTAGGCAGAGGTTGATAAAATCCATGATTCTGGATATTTTAATCTTGGTGTATTTGGTTAGGTCAGGTGTCCTGTGCACCAATGGTGTCATGGATTCTTTGGCTAATTCTGGATCTATGGATGTGAAACTGTGACATCAAATGAGACCATAATTTCAGCCTCATCTATTGATTCTTTGGAGGCACTACAATAGGGAGTTGATGGAGTTGCTAACACCCCCAGTGGATGGAGTATTTTCTTCCCCCTGTGAGATGCCCAAGCTTTTTTGTTAATTCTTCTGTTATATTATCGGTGGGGTCCCTGGTAATAATAAAATTGTATGGAGAGATATGTCAGGCTTATGTTTTTTTGGGCACCCATAGAAGCATGGAAGAATGTGTCCACTGCTTCTCATATGCCACTGTTCCTCTTTGTTAATTTAGCCTTTCTTGGTGAGATCACTGAGAGTTCTCTTGTTCCAATTGTCTAGTTTCTGCATTGGATTGGTGTTCACCAGGAGTAAATTTCTTTGTCTTCTAGTAATTCTTCACATTTTGGCCTGTCCATAACTGTAGTTCAGTCTTTGTCTGCTGGTAGGATGATGATAATCTGGTCCTTTTTTAGATTTTGGAAGATTGATATGTCCTCTGCTGCAGCTACTTTTGTTCTTGTTTTCAGTGGTATAATGGTTTATCTGATGTTTTCTTGGATCTCTGTGGTTTTAAATGCTCCTTCTAAGGCTGCAAAGAATTCTAGTTGATCAGTAGCAGTGCTTTTTTTGTAGAAAAAAAAAGGTACCGGAACTCACACACGTCATATAGCCCACCTTGCTTACCCTACAAGGTTCCATCCAAAAAAGGTACCAGAACTCCGTTCTGGGCGTTCTATGACAAAAAAAGCCCCAATCAGTAGTATTTATGTTATCATTGAGGCCTTTTTATAGAATATTGTGTTCTGCGGTAGATAGCAGACAGTTGGATATGTTGACCACCTATTTGGGTTCTTGTGCCTCTTGATTCTGGGATTTGTTTTGTAATGTGATTTTCCTTTTTCTAGCATCTCTCTGGGAAGTAGTTGATAGTGGTTGTTAAACCTTTCTATGTACTCTGGTGTGATGGCCTGTTCTAATTGCTCCTTGAGGGTTGCCATAGTGTGCTGATATTTGTTTAGTCTAAGATGTGCATCTGTGATCATGAGCCATATTGTTTATGCCCACTTTTTAGGGCTATTTTCTATCCAGGTGTGCAGTTTATTGAAGGTTTGTATTGACACTAGTAGGTATCAAAATATTGGAGTTTTGTAAGTTCATTTTCAATACTCTATATTAATTTATACTATACACTGTATAAATTGTATATACATATGTGTGTGTGTGTGTGTGTACACACACATTTGATAATGCTAGTAAGTCACAATCTTGAATGTATGCAAATGTATTCCTTCATTAGCAAAAACCATAGCTTAAACTTCCCACCCAGAAGGTTGAAAACAGATTAGCATTAGAAGTCGAAAAAGAGGAAGTCTTAATCCCAACTGGATTTCTAACAGATCTTACCTTTCCATAGCAAGCCAGTTTCCTGAGGGTTCTATGCTCACGTAACTCCTGGCACAGACTCAGAAGATCTTTCTTACATTTGTCAAGTTCTTCAATAATTCTGCTGACACCATGGCATCCCAGGTCAGTACCTGGCAAAAGACAGCCCTTGTAACACATAGTCTGGTTCTGGGTATCTTCTGTTACCATATCTAAAACTGTCCCCTGCGAGGGAGGAGGGAAATTCAATGTATTATTTATCCTACAAAATATAAAGTATATCTAGTTCTATCTGAAGATTATACCAGACAAATAAATGTAAATTATGGTATGCGGATTTCTTCAATAGAACAGATTCAACTAGAAAATATTGGAAAATGAGCATTACTAGAACAAAGATTTCCCCAACAAGTAATATTACAATTGATCTTATTATATTATAGTTCAATACATGGATGTGTATCACATCCAGAATTTGGGTTTCTTCTTGCAAAAAGTCTTTATTGTAGTTTTATAGGATTTCGAAATTAGAACAGGATTTTATCTATATGGATAGAATTTATGTAATTAAGAATTTCATTCTGTAATTTATTATTTGCTTAAAGCTTACTCATGATTTTCAGGCTTCTAAAACAATATAATTACGATATCTCACACAATTGATATCATGAACAAGTAATCCAAACCTAAAGTATGTAATATATGCTAATTATATTATGTGAAGTATTTGACATGCATCTCTGTTTTAGTGTCTTTGGACTAGTTTCCTCTAAAACGTAAACCAAATATTTGATTAATTGTTGTCTACAAGACTCACCAATTGCAACCAGGTACAGAACAGGAAGGCAAATCAGAACAAGGCAAACAAAAACCATCCTTAAAGCACATGCAAACACCCAGTATTCCAACTGGAACGCCTGTTTATACACATTTATACACAAATCGAATACTAATTACCTAGGAAATTTCCTTCATTTTAGTAACAAAATTTAAGACCCTAAAAAACATTCTATATAGATAGCAAATTATCAATTGCTTTTAACCTCAATGAGAGCTCTAACTCAAATATAGTATATTGACAAGAATTAGGCAATTGACAAATTCCTAACTGATAGCTACACTGATAATTTTGTTCAATTTTGTAGAGGGAATTTTTATAAACTAATCTTGGCTGAAAGTATGTCACTTTTTATAAACCACATTATTGAGCTATACCATCCAATGCCAATAAAGGGATTCCATAGGCTTCCACTTCAAAAATGCTTCTAGACGGGAGCAATCAGATTCCACAAAATGCAGCAACTGAAGAAATGAAGAACAAAGTATATTTAATTATTGCAATATAACAGAAAGTAATATGGTCTCTGTAAGGTAATAGGCATGTCTACCAGTGTAAGCTTTAGAGATCCCTGTTAAATGAGCAACATACTCCCAACTGCAAAGCAATTCTACGTGTATAATAAAACTACAGCATAAGAATTCTGAGCAAGAATTCTCCCTCCCCCCCATCCCTCTAGGAAATAGCCACAGAAGAGTTGCAGCTTTGTTCTTCTGAATTTCCTTGGCTATGGTAAAAGCAAAAAAAAAAAAAAAGTCCCTCACCCTACCTCTGTTCTCATATCACAATGAGGTAAAATATTCAAGGACTCAGAAAAAGATACAAGTCATACAAACCTATACGTGCAATGAGGATTTAGACTCAAAGGATGTTTGAGGATTGATTTTAGTTAGTATATATTCAAACCGCAGTTTTCTTTAAGCTAGCATTTTCTTGAAAACTAATCACCATCTTTTTTTAAAGCCAAATCCCATTCATGTATTTTAATAAACTCTAAATTGTACAGTAGGTATCTGGTTCAACAGAGTAACTGTGAGAGGATCAAGGAGTCCTAGTGGACAATCATTCAAATATGAGCCATTAGTGTGCTACAGATGCCAAAAAGGCCAAAAAGGCAGAGGGATAGTATCAAGATCACATGAAGTGCTAGTACAGTTTTATATTGCACTGGTAAAACCACACTTGCATCCAGTTTTGATCATCACAATACAAAAAAGATGTTGAGACTCTATAAAGAGTGCAACAAAGAGCAACAAAGATGATTAAGGGGACTGGAGGATAAAATATATGATGAATGGTTGCAAGAGTTGGGCATATCTAGTCTAATGAGAAAGACTAGGGGTAACTTGATAGCAGTCTTCCAATATTTGAGGGGCTACCACAGAGGGGAGAGGATCGACCTATTCTCCAAAGCACCTAAGGGCAGGACAAGAAAGAATGGTTGGAAACTTATCAAAGAGAGAGCCAACCTAGAACTAAGAAGAAATTTCCTGACAGTGAAAACAATTAATCAGTGGAATGGCTTGTCTTCAGAAGTTGTGGGTGCTTCATTACTGGAGGTTTTTAAGAAGAGATTGGACAGCCATTTGTCCAGAATGACATTGGGTCTTCTGCTTGAGCAGAGGGTGGGACTAGAAGACCTTGAAGGCCCCTGCCAATTCTGTTATCCTGTTACTGAATTTTAAGTTGGTATTTCTGGTGTCAATTGGTCTCTGTTGGGATTGGCTTGTAACCTGATAACGCGCCTCAGACGGTGTAGACTTCTCCAGACTGACTACTAGATCCTTGCTAAAGAATATGTATTTCAATTAGCAGAAAGGCGAAAGCAGCTTCTTTCTTCTGAACTTGTTTGTATATCGCTGGTTGAGGAAAAAGAAAGAAGACAACTTTTAACTATTAGCTGAAGACATAATTTCTGCATCATCCCGGGTTATCCCAGTTAGATGTGATAAACCCAGTGATGAGAATTTTACATCTGTAATTGTGGAGAAAAACGCACGTGCAGCAAATTGCCATGCTTCCCCCCCCCCCACAAACCTCATAACTTTTTGATACCCTTTGTCCCAGTGAAGCAGCCAGAAGGTCATACCCTTTTGACTTAATGCCTCACCTACCTAAACAGATAATATGCTTAGTTCCTTCTCCTATCTTTTCCTGCCTTTGTTAGTTCCTTCTCCTGTTTGCTCTTTACCTGGTCTTTGATCATGTAATGTGTTACTAGGAAATAGTTGCTTACATGAAGGCATTTTCCAATGAAGAAACCTTTGTCAGCATCTAATGGTTAAGCTGATGTATGTAACAAGTATATAAAAAGCAATAAACTCACAGAGTTTTTCAAGCTGTGTCCTGCAGCTGCAAACCTCTGCTCAAGACATGCCTGTGTCTTTGTCTTAGCGTCAACATATGGCGCCTGAACAGGGACAGCCCCCCTTCCGAGGGAGCAACAGCCAACATACTTACCACGTATGGAACAGATCCCTAAGTGCACTTTTGTCCTATGGGACCCCTCAGTGGTAAGTATGGGTTGCAATCTATCTCAGCACCAGCAGAAACATGTACAGGAACTCAGATTCCTGTTACATAAATCAGGCGTGACACCGCCTGAGGCAGACATAAGGAAGCTGGTGGAGGAGGTAGGGAAACATTGCCCTTGATATCCTGAGCGCTGGATGCTTAGGTTACGAGATTGGGAAAAGATAGGGCATACTTTACATCTTGAATCTCGGGCTCCAGTACAGATATTACATCGATGGTATCAGTTCCATCAAGCAGTGGAAAAATTAGGCTCAGATGCTTCAGCAGGGCAACAATTAACTACAAGCCCCCCACCTGATTAGGATCAAGTAAAAAGTGTGCCTCCGAAATGATCTTTAATTGGATCTTCAGCTCCTTCTGAAGAGGCTAATTCTTTTGCCCCCTTATGGCCATCATACACCCCCATAAGGAAAATATTAGAGGAACAATCTTGAAGTAGAAATATATATGTATGTATGTATGTATGTATGTATGTATGTATGTATGTATGTATGTATGTATGTATAGGGAATCGTTAGAGGAATTTAAAGAAACAAATTAAATCAAAATGTACTCCTCTGCAATGTGTTTTGAACAATTGGGATGTTTTGAAACTTCAAGTAGCTGTTAAGTTTAACCCTGTCAGACAATGTCTGGTGGTGCTTTGTGTTGATGTGTAGCAGTACAAATAATCTTTAACAAGACAACGTTGAAAAACTTTGCAAACCTCCGGTTGGGTAGTTTATCTGATAACAACTAAAGCCACGGAAAAAAAGAAAATTCAAAGAACTGAAAGCAAGTTTTTTTTTCTTTTCCCCCCTTTTAATATGGCTCTAATCAATTCCCTTTTGTCAGAGGTGAAGAGAGGAGGCTGCTACTTTCCCCTCCCCCTTCACACCTTCAATATTCCTTTTAGTCTTTCCCCACTGTCTTTTGAAGTTGCTGGGATAAATTGGAAGTAACCATAAATGTTCCCTTCCTCTTTAATAAAAAGGGGAGGCCTGTTTTAACCTCAAACCCCAAATTGATGTGTGTGTGTTTTGTTTATGTATATGTGTGTATATGTGTATATGTGTGGCCACCCAGAACATTACACTTGGGCTTGGAATGGTGAGAAAAATAGGAGATGGTTAAAGGGCCCTATAAAAACCACGTTTGGTTGGAATCATCTCATGATTTTTCTTGCTTCTTGCAGGACAAGCCATATGTCTAAATCAATGTTGTTTTAATAGTATTTGTGTATATATGTTTGTCTGTGTTGTTCTGTGTTATTTCCAAGACTTGGAAGAGGGTCAAAACCCTCTCTGATAACAACACACAAAAAGGCCTTATTTAAAAATAAATGGTTTGCCTGGAGAAAGTATGAAATGAAATATTTGTATGTGGAATTGTTTATGCAAGCAGTTAGAATGGAAGTGAATGAGTTAATTTGCTGATACCTAAGTGTGTGTGTTAGCCCTCAAACCCCACCCTCCACCCACTCCCTCCCAGGCTATGAAAGAAATAGTAAACTGCAGATTTTATTGTTATAAAAGTAAATTGAAAAGCAATGGTAAGTGTTTGCATGAGAAGAGTCCCATGGAGAATGTGTGAGAGAATTTATGGAAAATGCATGTGAAGGAGCAACTATTTTTTAGTGGTGAGAATTTTGTAAAATTTCTTTTTCTTTTTTTTTCTCTTTTCTCCTGTCTCTTTTTTTTTCCACTGGCTGTGTTGCTTTAAGAGCGAGAGAGACAGAAAGAAGAGGGGGAAAATTGTTGAATTTAAATTGTTTAGTTAGACCTCTATATCCATCAACCAAAAGAAATGACTCTGAATTGTTTTCCTTAGATTTGTAAATGTTTAACCTACTTAATGGAAATTTGTTTCCATCTGAATTGAATTTGATTAACTTGGAATTTGACTTATTGACCAAAGGAAAACAACCTGGAGATCACATTGTAGTTCCACCTGCAGCACTTGCCACGGTTGAGCAAATTAATGACATCTTGAGTACTCAATTTGTGGACAGAATTCCACATAAAAATTGTCACTTAACACTTTTGATATTTCTTACTAGTAAGCTACTTACAGGAATATTAGCTGTGTTAGAAGCACAAAAAGTATATTGTATTGAATGGCTTTACTTATCCCATCCCAAAATGTTTTATCTTTTATCTAGGCTGTTGCTGAAATAATAACCTTAGGACACAATCGAGCTTGTCATTGAAATGGGACTGATTTAATTGATATTGTTTTTCCTATCCCAAAATTTGATTTTCAATTTTATTTTCAGAATAACTTATCTCTTCAGTGCTCTTTAGCTGACTATATAGGCTGTATTTCATATCATCTACCTACACTGCAGTGCAATCCTCACCACAACGCTCAGAATTATCTGCTGCTATTTTAGCTTTCCACACCTTTTCTCAACAGACTTTTAACTTAATCTCTGACTCTCATTATGTGTGCCAACTTATTTTCAATCTTCCAGGTGCTTACATCACACCCAGGATCGATCCCAATCTTATGGCTTTTTTTTAACTTTACAGCAACTATTACAAGGCCAAAAGCATTTATACTTTGTTTCTCACATATGCATCGTCCTTTAAGGACTGCCTTCACAAACAAAAAAAAAGGAGGAATCAAGGGTACCTAATTTGGCATGGATAACTCGTCAAGTCAATAAAGTCCTAATAACTTTAAATCAGCTAAATATTTTTCAAAATACTACTGCCTACCAGCGTCATTTTCAGCAGAAAACTGTGCTCCCTAATCCATTGGTATATTATCGGCAATTGCCTGATAAAACCTGGTTAGGTCCAATTCCCTTATTAACTTGGGGGCAAGGCTATGCTGCTGTGCTTGCTCCTACAGGCCCCCTCTGGATTCCAGCCCGGTGTGTGCAACCAGCCAAAGATGTCATGGCATCAAATCCAGAACCCAATACTGGAAATGAAGCAGGTGACTC